CCGTGTTGTCCCCTCCCAGTTTGGCATTCATGTCGCCCATTAGAATTTTGATATCGCCAACTGACGTCTTGTCCAGTGTTGATTGAAGTTGTCTGTAGAATTCCTCCTTTTTCTCTTGCTCTGCATTATTTGTAGGTGCATAACATTGTATGATTGTGACCTTTCTTCCTTTTGAGTTGAATCTTGCTGTCATGATCCTGGAGGAGATTGGTTCCCACTGCATGAGAGCCTTCGATGCTCTTGAGGACATCATGATAGCCACTCCCTCAGTGTGCTCGTGGTTGGCGTCTGGGTGACCGGAGTAGATTATTGATTCTCCAGTTGACAGTTTGGAGAGTCCACTCCCATTCCATCTGCTTTCGCAAATCCCAAGCACTTCGATGTTATACCTTCTCATCTCCTTTGCAATCTGGGCTGCCTTACTGGGTTCAAACATCGTGCGGACATTCCATGTCCCCACGTTTACTTTCGCTTTCATCGAGAGAAGACACATCGGCCAATTGGCTTCCCGAAGGCTTTCACCAACTGGCGTCATTTCGCCTCTCCGATTCCAGCGGGGAATAAGTTTGTTTTCATTTTTTATATTTTGTTTGTGCTTTGAAGTTTCTTTAGCGGTTAGATTTGTTTTACGGGGTAGGGTTGCTAGCCCTATGCCCAACCTTCCCTCTTTACCCGGGCTTAGGACCGGCTAGTAACTAGTAAACTAGTTAACCAGGCGAGGTTGTCTGTGAACTTAATCAGATTTATTTCTTAGATTTTCAGTAATTTATCTATGGCTTCTAATCTAAGCACCTTTGGCCTACCTGTAGATCTTGTTCAACTGTGAGCACTATCGGACAGGTAGGTTCTGAATGATGAATCTGAACAAGCATTATGTCTATATTGTACGCATGTTATATTATCTACAAAGATGTAACTTTCCTGAAGCATATGGGTTAATGAATTGGGTTTTCCACAAGTTTAACCGATAGTAACTTCAGAAGTAATAATTACTTGTGGCCAGCTGTGATTTGACGAGCAGATATAATCAGTATGAAAACTGATATAACTGTGACATTTAACAACACAAAATAATTCAATGGAGAAACATTTCTTTCTAACGAATCATTTTCAGCAGTTGTACAACTGCATCAGATAAAAATAAAATTTCAAAAGTAACTGTCCAGTAAGATACAAATGAACAAAAAGGATGAAAGACTAGTGGGTTGTTATCAGTGATCTTTTCGAACATTTGAAACAACCAGGTTCTGTAGTCCTACGATTCTGTGGCTGGCCTTTCAATTTTGAATATGAATAATTCCTTATGTCATGTGACTGCTGGGTGGCAGACTAAAATTCTTCAACCAGTGAGAAACTGAATTGATGGATACACTTCAGTTGATTCATTTAACTTCGTCGACGCAATAAGTAGCCTCATTGTATCCGAAAAACGAATGCTCTTTTCGAATGCCACATCCCTCTTCAAAAGTGTTCCACTTACAGAGACTGTTTTTTTTCTTAAGTGAATACATCGAAACTAATAATCTAAAAGTTGATATAACAATTCATCATCTAAATGAATTACTTCTACGATGAACTTTCAATGTGCAGTTCAAGTTCAATAACGAATTTTGTCGATAAAAAACTACTAGAGAATCATCTCAGCAAACCATTCAGAAAGACCTTTTATGCCACCAAACAACTGGTAATTATCTTCTCCAGTCGACAGTCGATTCAAGGTAGTGGGAAGGATAAACTGTCGTTTTGGACCACATCCATGTTTATCTATCAGTTTACCTGCTCTTGTGGAGCTGGTTATTTAGATCTCACAAACCGCAGTCTTTGGAAATGTATCTCTAAGCAATATCCTGCATCGGTGTTCAGAGGAGAACGCAAGTCAAGCAACAGTTCCCTCTTTGACCATTTGGTCGTCCAGCTTCTCCACAGCCTTCTTTCGAAATCCCATACAAAGTCGAGCCAGACGGATCGTCACTTATGTATATTGGAGGTATTGGCAATCCACCACCTGATCTCTGTTTATAGAAGAGAAACATCCATTCTCATATTTTGCCACGGTCGTGATGCCTTTTTGAGTTTCTTTATTGCTTCAGTATTCATCTTACTCTGATTGACTGGTTATCTTTGTTTTTTATTTTCACTTTGTGGTTTTCTTCCCCACATCATAACATGTTGTCTCCAATCTCCCATTATAATCCTCACAATACTTCACTCAGATTTTTGACTATAGTTAGGATTTTTATTTTTGGCATGTTTAATTTTCAACTATTAGTCATCACGTAAATGTACTGTATATATATTTCTTATACACACTTGATTACGCAACGCCTTTTTTCACTGTACAATTAACACAATATTTCACCCTAGATAAATGCATTTTAACGATAATATTGACCTATTAGGGAGCAATAGACTGGTCTGTTTATTTATTATTGCAATAAATACGATTGTAGAGCCGCTAAAAAGTGATTTGTTGGAAAGAAAATTTTCTCTGGATTACTTAGTGTCTTTTGACATGATTACATAAGCATCCAAATTGTTATACAGGGCGCATTAACATGTCAACGAAGAATAAGATGAAGAGATGATTGCAGTAATATCATCAATCGTTTGTAATCTGAGCTTCATGCATGACATAAGTATTGTTCCGCAGGAAAATTATATTCAATGAATTAACAAGTATTGAAGTTAAAAACTATAAAAGCATATTCAGACATTGTTCTAAGAATATCTCAAACTAATGAAAGCGTTTCCAACCATATGCTTAGAAATAAAACATTAGAATGGTTACATATAGTAGAATCAGGAAATAGTGCTATAAACTGAAGAAATTTGTGATAAATCAACTCTAAAAGTGAGTAACTTGATTGTACTGGTAGCAGTTAAAGCTCGTTGTATCTCATAAAGTATTCTCCACAGTGTGGTTAAATCAGTTTTCTTCAACTGGCTGTAAAACCTAAACTGTAATAATGATCTTTGATTTGACATTGTAGACGGTATTTTTGCTCGCTAAATTAATGGTCTTTTTATCAAAAGTTGTATTATTTAAACTATCTGCAAACGATGCATACTGAAGTAGAGTAATACTCAAAAGCATTGGGAGCAGATTGT